AGATTCCACAACCTCCCTAGGCAATTTATTCCAGCGTTTAACCACCCTGACAGTTAGGAACTTTTTCCTAAAAAAACATGACATTGATAATTGCCATATATATCTATGCTGATATACCTCTACCTCGATATAACACTGTCCTCGGGAGCCAAAAAATCTTACCGCGTTATAGGTGAAACCACGTTATATTGAACTTGCTTTGATCCACCGGAGTGCGCAGCCCCGCCCCCCCGGAGCGCTGCTTTACCGCGTTCTATTCGAATTCGTGTTCTGTCAGGTGGCGTTATATCGAGATAGCGGTGTACGTGTACACCAGTAATCAGCCTAGTCAACAAACTTGGTAGACGTGTTTTATTCCTCTCTATTGCACATGGCTATAAAAATTACCCTTTTGCTGCATGCGCACAGTCCATCTCTATTAAGACACTTTTAGTTTTACATTAAGCAGGTTAAAACTGCTACCATTTAGAACAACAAACCTGCCCGAGAAATGCTTCATTCTCCCAACTTTTCTCCCACCCAAAATTGGGAACTTACCCACTTCTCCCTCCACCTTCCCTTTCCTCTCCAAAATAAATTACTGGCCTGATATTCAAGAGGGCTAAATATTTAGTCTTTGATCTGTCACTGCTTCAGTTCATAGCTTGATGAGGTCTTGGGAAGGATGTAAGTAATCACGTTGGTGTCTGGGTCATGGAATTTGAGCCAGCTCACTTTAGGTTCATAGAGGTCATTCGCAGCAATCCTCAGGAGCAAATTACCATCAGACACCGAAAGTCTTGCGGAATTCTCCAGAAGCCTCACTTCTTCCCCTATTTCAGCCACCTTTGCAAAAACCGGTGTTGCACTTAGCCAAATTTGAGGATACAGTGGAGAATTCCAAACCAGCTATAGAGGATGAAGATCCTCTTTTTACCCTACTTCTTTGGGATTGTTTGTTGCATTTTTTTTCATGTGTAGCATATGTTCTGATGCTACTTTTGAACTGTGCTACTTTTTCCAGTAAGAAACCATGCCAAATACCATTCCTCCTTTCCTTTTCAGAGATCCCTTTCACAAGCAGAGGTCCTGGCCTTTACCTAGGGTAGAGCTGCTGCATGAAGTTCAGTACTCCCCTTCACAAGTCACTATGCCCTTGACAAGACTAGATGCTTATTTTCAGTGGACAGTACTTCAGTTGCTGTTCAAGGAGCTAGTCTCCTGCAGTGGGGCACTGGGGAAACAATGTTACAAACTGACTACTTACCAACAATAACTTTTGTTGCCCAAATATATTGCCTTCACCCAGCTTCTTCTCAGTTTTGGAGCACACATCCAAATGAGGTTTCTAGGTGTAGAGGGTACTGCTTTGGGAAGTGCGGTGCGGGTGGGACGGGCGCACAGAGTATTTATATTTTTTTTTTTATACCACAAAATCCTGGTACATGCATGTGCTCTTTGCTTCGTGGGACGTTTTATAACGGGTAAAGAAACCCTACCTGGACATCTAGCTATTTCACTGAATTCCGTACTTAGCCTAATATTTTATGAGCATTTATTTACATGCTATCAATGGCAGATAAAACTGCAGTATTTGTTTCAGGCAGTTTATGTATTATTTTTTTGTCTAGCTGCTTTTAAAATTGTGAAGGGCTGGCTTGGTCCAGATGCGATAAGCATGTTGAAGTTTGCAAACAAGAATGAAGTGCAGGAATACATCAGTGCAGAGTATCTGCCTGCCTACATGGGTGGAATTGTAAGTATATTGAAATTTTAAAATACCCTGTAATGATTAATATCTTCATGCAATTTTTGAGTCCATATAAATTGCACGATTACACACTGTAGTAGAGCCAGCTAGCATTTTTCAGATAAGTATGAGTGTCCATTTGATATTAATAAACTTACAAATTAACTGTTAATGATTTAAGTTCTATTAAAAATCTCAACTGATGCTTTTCAAATTTTTGTATGTTAGTTTTTAAAAAGTTTTCATAGCTCTTTTTGTAAGGTAGGAAGTAATTCTGCAACCCTAATTTAGTGACTTCATTTTGGGAATTTTAATAGTGTGAATAGGGGAAAAGGGGCTTTTGAGGGCATACAACTGCTGTTTCTCACATCCCTCCAAAGCCGTGATTGAATGAAGACCCTCCAATCCTTTCTCTGGCCTTCCGCCCTTTCTAGCTCCTTCTGTTGCCTCTCATCTCAAGTGTCCTAAAACCCCTGGCGTACTTGGCAACTTCTTTAAAAGGAAGGTAAAGCCCAACTGGTTATACTGCACTCCAGTACTGTATTATTGTCAACTTTTACACACCCCTATTTATACAAATTATAGTGCATTCTAAATGCTGATGCAGGATAAGCAACTTGTGTAAGGGGCATAAATTTGTCACCAAGCTAATAAAAGTACACCTCTACCTCGATATAACGCTGTCCTCGGTAGCCAAAAAATCTTACCGCGTTATAGGTGAAACCGCGTTATATCAAACTTGCTTTGATCCACCGGAGTGCGCAGCCCTGCCCTCCCGGAGCACTGCTTTACCGCGTTATATCCGAATTCGTGTTATATCGGGTTGCGTTATATCGAGGTAGCAGTGTAATTAATTCTGTGATTTCCTATCCTTTTACCTTAAACTTTGTAACTTTCGTTCAATAATTTTTTTAAACCCAAGCATGGTAAAAGTAATACCACTGCCATAGAGGGAGATGGCATCACTTTTTCTCTCTGCAGAAGAGATGGAGATAGGTAATGACAATCTGCCTTCCCCTCTGCAACATATATTTGAATATTAATACGCCATTAAAGAAAAACACACCAGAGTGCTATCTGAGGGACCCTCTTGAGACAAGATAGCTGCTGGAATGAGGCTTGGGGGTTCTGTTCCTTGGACTCAAGGGTATGGAAGTATGAGGGACTCACTTTCCTAAACTCCTGCAGGGGCAGGATGTCTCTCTGGATCCTCTTCTCAGTACCTGCAAGAAACATCCAAAAGGAATCATTTCCCAAGGAGTGAGAAGTAGTAGCTGCCCAGAGATTGAAGAGGGGTGGTTGAGTGTTTTCTGGGTGCTGAGGGAGATGCTGAAACTGAGAGTGTGTAGAAAGTGATGATTCTGCTGTCATCTGCTTTCCATATCTCTCTCCCCTGGCATATGTGGGTAAAAAGGCTTGCTGCTACATAGGAATTCTGGTGGTCAGCATCAACAGGGGTGGAGAAATCATAATGATGAGCCATAGCATTTCATTTACATTTTGAAGGCTTCATTGTTTAAAAGCTTGGGACCTTATTTAATTGAAATCTTCATTGCAGTGTCTTTTTAAACATATTTTGTTAAATCATAAATAAAATACGTGCCACAGTCACAAAACAAAACAGTGGTAAGCAGTTAGTGAGGAAATCCTCTAACTTTATATCGTTTTTGTTCAGAACTGTCCTACATACTAATTCTCTGGAAAGATCAAAGCATAACAAATTTGAACGTTTAAAATCAAGTCCTGTTTAGTCCTCGCTTCCCAAAAACTTTCTCTTTCATTGGAATTGGCTACCCTTACATGTTTGGAAGTTATTTGTTTCCACCTTTTCCAAGTCTTTGAAGCAGAGCAAGAGGAACCTCTGAAACTTTTTTGAGCAGCCTGCCTTTAAGTACCTTCTGGTGACTCTTGAACCTGTGGTTCACAGGAATCTATGAACTGGGGAAATTGACCCAAAAAATCAGTTCAACCAGTGTTCAAATTGGTTGGAGGTGCAGTGTAGGTGAACTCCCATGACTGACCCTGTCTTTACCACCATTTGAACCAGTATGAACTTCTTAATAAATTTCCTCAACATAGACATGGCCTAGATGTGTTCAACATGGTGCTTAGATTAGTACTCTTTCCCAGCCTTCTTTCCCCTTTTTAAAAATAATCCACCATAATCAAGGCTACGTTTGTCACGGAGGTCATGGAAGTCACAGAATCTGTGACTTTCTGAGACCTCGGTGACATTCTCTGCTTCAGCCCCAGGGGTTGTGGGACTCTGGAGCTGGCAGTCAACAGGGCCCTGGCAAGGTTCCAGCAACAGATGACAGACTCCTGAGGGGGCCCTTCTCAGAGTTCTAGTGACGGGTGACAGCCTTGTGCAGGGAGAGGGGGATGCCTTGGGTGAGCGCTGGGGGTGCCTTGTTTTCTCTTTGGGAAATATTGTCACCCTGCAGCTCTCAGCCGCTGAGGACGGGGGGAAAGGGGAGGGGTGGCAGCTTCCAGCTGCTGCAGGCAGAGGGGGAACCCCACAGTTCCCAGCCACCACAGTGGCGGGGGGGAGGGATAGCTCTCGGGGGAGGGATAGCTCAGTGGTTTGAGCATTGGCCTGCTAAACCCAGGGTTGTGAGTTCAATCCTTGAGGGGGCCACTTAAAAATCTGGGGCAAAAATGAGTACTTGGTCCTGCTAGTGAAGGCAGGGGACTGGACTCAATGACTTTTCGGGGTCCCTTCAAGTTCTATGAGATAGGTATATCTCCATATATTAAACCACAGAGATGTAGCAGCAAAAGACAGACAGGTCACAGCTTCTGTGAATTTTTGTTTATTGCCCATGATCTGTCCCTGACTTTTACTAAAAATAACCATTACAAAATATTAGCCTTAACTATAATCCATGTATAGTGTGTGTGATAGAGCCTGTATTAAAATAGGTAATGCACATGTATAATGCTAGTTCTTTAAACATTAATAAATAGGCTGTTTTATTTTTTACAAATTCAAATCATGGACTCTAACTGTCTACATGATTTTCTTTAAAACCAAAGCTGTTATAAAGTTATAGAAGTACAAAAAACATCTGAAGAGCCACTGTTTTTTCTTATTTTGTTTTAAGTTTGCCTCCGTGTAATGTAGAAACAAAATCTGGTTTAATTCTCCCCCGCAACCCAATTAAGATTTTTTTCAATACCAAATTTCAACTCAGAACAAATTCTGCAATCTCTTTAGGAATATGTAAACATTGCCACTAGCTATAAATTAGTGGCTGTGTTAGATGATTATCATATTTGATTATTATATAGGACAAAACCCAACATCAACTTTTTGCCCATGGGTTGAATGGAACTTAAAATGTATAAATGAAATATGTACAAGTTGTAAAAGGACTAAAAAAAAAAATCCTGATAAGATCTGTATTTTAATTATGCTAGTGAAATCACTTTTCCTTCCTTTTGATACACACATGAACTAAATACCCTTGTATTTTAGGATACTTTCAAGTACAGTTACCCTCCATTGGTTGATGATGATTTTCAAACTCCATTATGTGAAAATGGACCTATTACTACTGAAGATGAAACTGAAAGTAAAGAGGAGGCGGAAGCAGACAGCAAGGAGGCTGGAGAATCCAGTGAAGAGCAAATTCTCAATGTGAAAAAGGTATCCATTAACTCTAAAGGCTAAGAAGGAATGAAAATATGAAAAGTTGGACATGGTTTATTTTTTATGGCAGATTTTTTACAGTCTGTTGTAGTTGGATGTCTTTGCCACTTACAGTGAAAACCCAGTAAAACCCTAAAGACTAGCTTCACTATCATGGATGGATTACAGTACACACACACAAATCTAGTATCTGTTTTATTCTGGTATTGCTCCGTTAAATGTACAATGTGAAAATTTTAAAAAAAAATTTTAACTTTATCCTTAAAAAGTTAGGTTTCTCTAGAGTTATAGTCAGTTTTTTATACTTCCCTCGGGGCAACCATTGTATTGATTTTTAATACCAGATATCTAGTTTTCTCAATAGATGTTTTAATCAGCTCCTGAAGAGAGGGAATACTAAATAAACAATTGAAAACATGCTATTGAGAGCTAGTGTCTAGAGCAGTATTATGTTTTTATTTATCTTATTAGTTATATGTGTTTATTTATCTTATTAGATATCCAGTTAATCTTGATATGGTCACAAAACAAAGTAAAGCCCTGAATCCTGCAATCTGATCTAAGTGGCTGTAACCTTACACCAGTGCAGAATTCATTCCAGTATCGGGGGGGCAAAGAATACATAGTGGGTGCCTATGGGAAATGTAAACTTTGTCCATTAGTATTGTTCTTGAAAAATAGCTACTATAGTCCAAAATCTGGAATTCACTGTTGTTGCCATAACTTCTGAATCTGAATATGAATTTACTAATTTCTTGTATCGTATATGTTTAATATTCTTAATTTTATAGTACACAAATTTTCAGTTTGAATTAATATTTTAATATTTTGTCAGATTTTGAAACATATGGAACAATTTCTTTTTTAATTAAGGTATTTTTAAAAGTTGGCCAGCCAAATTAATAAGGTAGATTCATAGAATTTAAGGTCTGAAGGAACCATTAGATCATCTACTCTGACTTCCTCTCTATCACAGGCCCTTAAATGTAGTCCAGTTATCCCTGTGTTGAGCCCAGTAACTTGTGTTTGGCTTAAAACATATCTTCCAGAAAGACATCCAGTCTTGATTTGAAGATGGCGAGAGTTGAAGAATCCACCGCTTCCCTTGGTAGATTGTGTTCCAGTGGTCAATTACCCTCATGTTAAAAAATATGTGCCTAATTTCTAATTTGAATTTGTCTGGTGTCAGCTTTCAGCCATTGATTCTTGTTATGCCTTTTTCTACTAGATTAGAATCCTTTAATACCTGACATTTTGTCCCCATTGTAATCAAGTCATCTGTCTTCTTCTTGATAAATGAGGCTGCACTCTTTAAGTCTCTCGCTTTGTCATTTTCTCCAGCCTTCCAATCATTTTTGTGGCTCTTTTCTGCCCACTCTCAAACTTTTCAACCTCCTTTTTAAAACATGGACACTGAAACTATATGCAGTATTCAAGTGTCGGTCTCACAAATGCAGTATACAGAGGTAAAATTACTTCCCTACTCCTGCTCACTGTTCCGTTGTTTATGTATCCAAGGATCACGTTAGTCCATTTTGCCAACGCACTGGGAGGTCATATTTGCTTGTCCACTGTTACCCCTAAATCCTTTTTTGCAGAGTCACTGCTTTCCAGGACACAGTCCCCTATTCTGTAGGTATGTCCTGCATTCTTTATTCCTAGATTTGTAACTTTACATTCAGATGTGTTAAAATGCATTTTGTTCAAATGGGCCGAGTCTACCAGTTGATACAGGTTGGTTGATTGTCTGACTACTTCTCCTTATTATTTACCACTCCACCAATCTTTGTCATCTGCATATTTTATCAGCAATACCTTTCTATTTACTTCCAGACCATTAGTGAAACTGTTGACTAGCATCAGACCTAGTCCTAGTTTTTGTAGAATCCTACTAAAAACAGACACTACTTCCACAGCCAGTTCTTAATCCATTTAATGTATACTCTACTGATATTTTATAATGCTCGTTTTTTAGTTAGAATGTTGTATGGTACTAAATCAAATGTCTTGTAAAAGTCTATGTATATTACCTTTATCAACCAAACTTGTAATCTCAAAGAATGAAATCTGGTTTGTTTGACAGGACCTGTTTTCCATAAAATCCTGTTGACTGGCATTAATCATATTAATATCCTTTATCAATTCAATGTCATATCAGCTTTTCTATTATTTTACTAAGGATTTATGTCAATCTAACCTGCTGATAGTTACCTGGGTCATTCTGCTGACCTTGTTTGAATATTGGCACTAGATACACTACTTCTTCAATCTTCTGGAATTTCCCCAGTACTCCAAAGTTTAATAGAAAATTAACATCAGCAGGCCAGAGATCTTCTCCGCCAACTCTTTTAGAACTCTTCAGAGCAAGTTATTCGGGCCTGCTGATTTTAAAATGTTTATCCCTTGTAGATGATGTCAATATCCTCTTTGGTTACTAATGCACTGGAAATTACTTCATCATCCTCATATGATGGGAGTACATCATCCTGTTTCTTTCCAAATAAACAACAGAAATTTATTTTGAACACTTCTGTCTTTTGTGCATCATTAAGTTTCACCATCATCGTCTAGTAATGGAGCTATACGAAAAGGGTCAATTTGACCCCAGAATATGCAATTTTGATATTTTTGTACTTAAAAGTTATAATGTAATGGTATAACGGAATAGCTAACTTTTGAATCATGCATTGAACCAAACCAGAGGCCTGTCCTGAGTTTCAGGCCACAGTTACCTGCAGATGAATTGTGGATGTTACAGACTTGGTTTATTATCTTCTTCCTTTTTGTGTAACTGAGTCTTTTCAGTTACTTTCAAAGAGAAACATATGGTTGTAAGGAAAGACATCACGTGGTCCACATTTAACACCTTCAGCATTCCATTGTCTAAAGAGAGGTTAATTCACTCCTTCTTACTCCCCCCCCAGCCCTTTTCTTAAATTCTTACTCTGACCCTTTGGATAATCTGTGATATTGAACTAATATGTTAATCAAATTGGAAAGTAAGATGTAGCCCAGCAGATGTTTAGGTTTAATCCTAAAATAAATATATTAATCCATCTCCTAAAAAGTTGCATACAAGCTCTCATAAAGGCTGTAATTTAAGTTCCATACTGAGGTAAATACTGCTCCTGTTAGCTATGGAGAAGCAATAACATGATGCTATCATGGAAGGATAAGACCATAAACTGTAGGATATCTGAACGTAAACGAATTTTCCAAATTTATTTCTGGAAAAATTCCTTATGTCTGAACCAATTAGACATCCTGGGGGCCATCTTTGTAAATTAAATACTTTCTGCTATACTTCCTTACATTTTTTTTAACATAAATGTTTTCCACCAAAGAGTCTCAGATTTTGAGATTAGAATTGCTACACAAATGTGTTCGCTATCCTGAGAATGGAACTATTGAAACCAAATAAGCCTTTATGTTAAGTTACAAGGTGATAAATTTGAATTCCTTTCTTATAATAAAACCAACTTGTATAGAATTAAGTTTGTTATAATCCTTATACTTGTAAGTAAATATTCTTATCCCTTTAGGATTATACTCAAGTTATTAGCATAAGTGATTGTAAGTATGTGAATAAACATTTCAGCACTAGGAATGTTGTGCAAAGTTTGGGAATAGAAGTTGTGAATTAGACAATATTAGTTTTAGAAATAGATTTCTTGTTTGTTTTTACTAATGTTATCAAGTACAGTGCCTAGAATAGCTAAAATATTTTAATAGTTGGAAATTAGGATATTTTATAATGAACCTGGAAGTTGTTTAAAATTAGAATCAAATTGAGAATACCTTCCTACCCTTGAAAGATGGGATAAACTCTTCCCAAATTACAGCTAAGTGAAAGAAGAAAGAATAAACTTTAAAATTTCAAAAGGAAGGAAAACTTCAAGTCAGCAAATTACAACAAAATATAGGAAAATGTTATGGTGGTTCTTTCAAAAGTTTACAACTAAACGTTGACTTAATACAGCTTTTAAACTTTACTACACACAAGAAAAATGCTGCTTTTAACTATCTTAATTTAAATGAAATAACACAAAAACAGTTTCCTTACCTTGTCAAATCTTTTTTTAAACTTTTCCTTTATTTCTTTTAGTAGTTTATGTTTAACACAGTTCTGTACTGTATTTGCGCTGGTAGTATCAATAAACTGAATCCTTTTAGAGCTGGGCTAGCCCACCATTACAGCTGAATGGAATATTAATGTATGAAAAGAGATGCTAAGTACAGTTCAGGAGTTTTTTGTCTTTTATCTAAGCAATCCCGAGGGTGAGTCTTCATTGAAAGGTCCAAAAGTCCTGAATGCATTGCTTCAGTCCTGATTCAGATATTTCTCCCTGCTTCCTATGAGAAATGCCCAATTTTTGATTCCACTCTCCCAAGAGAGTGATTTTCTTTAACCAGAATCCTTTATGAACAAGAACTTGGGTTTTGGACCTGAAAGTCCAAAGTCATAACTATAAGCAGCCTTGGGAAAGAGAGAGCTTTCCTAAAGAGCAAATATGCCAAGAAAAGATCACCACCACACCAAAATACTCCTCTGATAACAGATGGCAGGGTATGATTTGAAAATTAATATTTCTCTCTGAGATACCATAGGAATTTCTGTGCTTTGAAGGAAGTCAGAATTTGGCCTTGGAGAACAAAAGTATTGATTGCCTTTCTAGAATACTGAACTCTTCTGAAGTTCAGACCTTTGTTTCTTTAAATCCAGACCTTTGTGCTGATGGGATTTAAATATTGAAATATACCAAATTAATAAACTTAACTTCCATGGATGCTACTGAAGTACCTGATTCCAAATAAATATCAAGCAAGATTACACTAGGAACAGGAAAGAAAAGAGCACTGAAGTAGCCTTAACATTTGCAATCTTCTAAGAACCATAACTGGACTGTTACAGGAATTAAACCTAACACCTTGTAACTAAATTGCTATAGTGTTTGATTCAATTGTTTGTTTTTCATCTAGATAGCCCTGTAATTGTA